CCCTGTGCAGTGACATATGGCAAAATTTTCAGCTAATAGCCTAGCAGGAACTGGGGGCTGAATGTTCATATAACCATAACGGTCAGATGCTGTTCTGCATATTTTTATTTATAACTAGAGCTCATGATAGTTATAAGGAGAAGGGGAGCAAAGTAAAATTTTATGGCTATCTGCCTTAAAATATTTGTAAAAAGCCCAATTCTCCCAAACCATAAAATACAATATCCCTTAGGAGAACCTGTTAGTACATCTTAGCGCTGCTGCCGAACAGAGTTTTCACAAAGGCATCGACAGGAAAAATACAGCTAAGCCCTCATCCAGCTGCACCCTCCGCACGACGGGGTTATTCATCCTCCCGCTTTGCCCTGACTGCTTTTTTGGTGTTTGTTTTGATGCGGCAGGGAATAACTGGCATCTTCTTCGTGGGACTTCAAAAATGTTTCATCAAAACCCAGACTAAAGTCCTACCTGAGATGACAGAGGCCAAGATCCCCGAGCTCGAGGTAGGTGAATTAAACAGGACACCCCTCTGCCCCCGGTGAAACCCAGCCCTGCCCCACCGCCCTCCCGTCTGCTCCAGCCTTCCTGGAGACTCCGCAATAAAGAAATAAGGAGTTGTGATTGCTTCATAAAATGATCTTATTTCAGAGGATTGCTTCTAAAAACAAGAAGTGGAAAGAGACGGGATTAGGCAGCCGGCAGACAAAAACCTCTCGGCACAATACCGGAGATCAAGAACAATAATCCTGTTGTAGTCAAAAGGTCGCAAGGCAGCTCACTGGCGCAGAGCCAGGGAGCGGGGAAGCAGCCGGCCCCGTGGCAGGGTACCCAACACCAGAGGTCAGGTGCCCAGCTTCAGCTCACTCACCCACTGGCCAGCACACGAAATTGGGTGGGGGGCTCAGCCAACCCCCATGTGGTTTTGTCCCTCACAGGTTTACGACATGGAGCACACGTTCTTCAGCCACGGTGAGAAGAAGAAGATTGTGATGGAGATTGACCCCCTGGCCAGGACAGAGACCTTCAGGAGCGGGAATGGCAGCGAGGAAATCCTGGAGATCCATGACTTCAAAAATGTGAGTGTAGCAGGGTTTGTCCCCGGGAGGCTGCCTGCCCTCTTGCAGCAGGACCAAGAAGATCCCTTAGGACACCACTGGGTCTCTGGAACAAGACCTGGGATGATGAGGGAGAGCAATGCCCATACGCAGACTCCCTAAAGACCCTCTCAAAGGAAAGGAGATGTGTATCTACATAAGCTTCCACCAGTACTTAATAGTGGCGTGGTTCAGTTCCAATGAAACACATCTTAAAAGCAAGACCTAGTTATTGGATTTACCCTTGCAAAGGAACGCAATCATCATAAATCTATCCAAGCCCGGTACATTTGTCTGTCTGGAGAGCATTAAAACCTCGTGACAATGTTGTAGGCTCTCTCTGAAACCTATGGGAAATACCCTGTGCAGTGACATATGGCAATATTTTCAGCTAATAGCCTAGCAGGAACTGGGGGCTGAATGTTCATATAACCATAACGGTCAGATGCTGTTCTGCATATTTTTATTTATAACTAGAGCTCATGATAGTTATAAGGAGAAGGGGAGCAAAGTAAAATTTTATGGCTATCTGCCTTAAAATATTTGTAAAAAGCCCAATTCTCCCAAACCATAAAATACAATATCCCTTAGGAGAACCTGTTAGTACATCTTAGCGCTGCTGCCGAACAGAGTTTTCACAAAGGCATCGACAGGAAAAATACAGCTAAGCCCTCATCCAGCTGCACCCTCCGCACGACGGGGTTATTCATCCTCCCGCTTTGCCCTGACTGCTTTTTTGGTGTTTGTTTTGATGCGGCAGGGAATAACTGGCATCTTCTTCGTGGGACTTCAAAAATGTTTCATCAAAACCCAGACTAAAGTCCTACCTGAGATGACAGAGGCCAAGATCCCCGAGCTCGAGGTAGGTGAATTAAACAGGACACCCCTCTGCCCCCGGTGAAACCCAGCCCTGCCCCACCGCCCTCCCGTCTGCTCCAGCCTTCCTGGAGACTCCGCAATAAAGAAATAAGGAGTTGTGATTGCTTCATAAAATGATCTTATTTCAGAGGATTGCTTCTAAAAACAAGAAGTGGAAAGAGACGGGATTAGGCAGCCGGCAGACAAAAACCTCTCGGCACAATACCGGAGATCAAGAACAATAATCCTGTTGTAGTCAAAAGGTCGCAAGGCAGCTCAGGATTAGCAAGCACCAAAAAGTCAATCAAATTGTTTTCTCCAAGATTTGAGCCTCATGTTCTCAAGCAGAATGAGGCAGAAGTAATGAATTTAAAAGAGCAACCGTGTTTAAGAAATGCAATTTGAGAAAGCTCTTGGCGTACAGCCCTGGGAGGTGGGAAGCGCCGGGCTGGGGCCACCTTTCTGTCCTGCCCAGACCCTCCTCCCACCCATGTGCCTGATTGCTTCTCACACCCGTTTCGCTTTTGCCCACCACCTCCTGCTGCAAGGAGGCGCACGCTTTGCACGCTGCATGGCAAAAGTGCCTGACTCCATATTTTAAGCCCTCCCTGACAGCGTAACCTGGGGTGATGGCTCAGTCCCTTGAAAGCAGTCATCCCCTGTCCCCGTCCCCATCCCCGAGGCCCCGGCGGTGGCACAGCCCTCCCGCCTCCCCGTTTGCAAGGTGATGGGGGTTAGCAGTTTAAGTCCCCCCCCGCAAGGAAGCTGTTGCAGATAAAACACCAGCAGGACACGTCTTTGAAACGAAGCGTGTGCAGAAACATTTCCCTGAATCATGACCCAAATTCCCAGACACTGGTTCTTTGATTATGCCATAAGAAGCTAATAGATCTTTTCGGCTACCGTCGTAAAAGGGATATGACTTCCCAGTCTTTAGCAGAACATTGCCCCAGGTAGAGAGCTGAAATGTAGAACCCAATGAGATAAATGTAGATTTAAAATCTAGTCATCTCTTCCCAGAGCCCGCGCGCTGCCAGGTCCTTCAGGCAGCACCTCCCCAACCCCACAGCTTTCACCAGAGACTCTGAAAATAACTCAGACTGGGTCAGGTTGTCTTAGCTCTTTCCGAAGACTTCCCAAAGCCATAAGGAAAAACTCTATAAAAGAGAAATACAGCTCTAGATGCCTTCTGGAGAGAAAAATGCCATTTGCCAACTTGCTCTATGGGCTACCACCACCAACATACACAACGTTGCCTTGGCAGATAGCTCAGCGCAGACCCATCCAATAATCTTTATATATCTCTCTCCTTAAGCACCTGCCAAAACACACCATGGACTAATGCAACGGCAGAGACGGGTAGTATAAATTACAGAATACGGTCGTGCAAAGAATTTCTGTGAGGAATAAATTAAAGTGTTCGATCACAAAATCAGTAGCAGAAGGAGAGAGAAATTAAGTAGTAAGAGCAAAGCAGAGAGGAGATGTTTTAATCTTGGGTTTTAAATGAGCTGGGGTGCTCCAGAAGGCTCTTCCAGATGGCGGGGACCGCACAGGAGAAGGCTCTTGTAGCATAATGAACGGAGGGAGGAGAGAGCAGGGTGGTGTTGGCTTGTGATGGGGTCCCTCCATGAGGACCAGCAGGGCGTTGCATGTGCGCCCGGCGGGCAGCCCGGTCCTGGGGCGAAGGCGAAGTCCAGCTCCTCGCTGGGAGGAGAGGGGTGCCTCCAGGTAAGCCAAGGGGAGAGGATGTCTCACCACGCCAGGGTGACATCTCGCTTTTCTTCCAGGGAGAAGAAATCACAACCACCTACTTGGACCAGTCCATGGTCTGGGTGCCTGGGGAAAAGCCCATTCAGAACAAGGAGTTCCTGAAGAGCTCCAAAATTTTTGACATCTGCAGGAACGTGACCATTTACTGGATCCACCCCACGCCGATAGCAGGTACAAAGAGCCATCTCCTCCCCAAAGTGCCCGTGAGCCCCCTCGATGGGAGCAGCCCCACCACCCACCCATGTCCCCTCTGCCACGTGCCCCAGCGCAGCACGGTGGGAACCCATTTCCACAGTCTCCCTGTACATCTCAAACACGAACACAATGTTGGCCACAACCATGAGAGAACACGGCCAATGCAATAGCAAGGGCCAAAGTTTCTCTCTGCAAAGCACTGGTCTCTGCTGGCTGCCCACCACCCCGGGCTTTGCAGAGCGGCCACCCTCCTCATAACAAGGCAAAAAAAAAACCCCAAACCCTTTCTACCTGCGAAGAAGCCAGTGCTGCTGGAAATTGGGACGCCTAAATTCTCGTCACCACATGAGCATGAGAGCATGAGCAGACATCTGCATCTCAATCACACAACAGGGTTGCCACCTCCAGCTGCTCGGTACACAGCCCTTGCAGAGGTTGCGGCCTCTCAGATCCGCCGGTGTGATTACCTGCTCTCCCTAACCCACTTCTATCCAAATGAGATAGTTCAAACCCCCTACTGAGAAAGCTCCCTCCACTCTGCAGCCGCAGAGGCGCATCTCACCCCCCACGGGGACCAGTCTGCTCGCAGCCATCGATGGTCCTGGGAGCGAGCAGCCGTCAGAGACCCCCGATGCAGAGGGAGGATGCTGTCCCTGGCTACTGTCCCCCTCCTGCTTCCTCGGTCCCTGCTGTTACAACCCTGCTGCAAAGAAAATTAGTGTCACTGGGGGGCTTACCTAAGCCACCAACAGGTGCTGTAGCTGGGTATTAGAATAGAATAGAATAGAATAGAATAGAATAGAAT